AGGAGGAGGAGGAGGAGCAGGAGAAGGAGAAGGAGGAGGAGGAGGAGGAGGAGGAGGAGGAGGAGGAGGGGGAAAGGGAGGAGGAGGAGGAGGAGGAGGAGGAGGAGGACGGTTCGCGAAAGGCTCACGAGCGGCGAAACTATCCATATCAACACCCTCGCGGTCTGGACTCTGGGGCCGGACCCCGGCATCATAATTTCTGCGTGACGTCGACCCCCAGAGGTCTCGACCCATCCCCCAGGATCGGTTCTTCATCATGGGTCGCCTTTTGACGGTCCCGAGGCCAGGTAGGGGCCCCCAGCGGCCGAAAAAGCAAGTGAAGACCTCCCGTCGTGATTTCTTCATGACGCGAGGTGCTCGGGGGGGCGCGATCCCGCGGATACACGGCCGCACCGATACGTTCCGCGCGGGGCATCCGCGAAGAAAACGCCCCGCTTCCGCGGGGTCGCGACCCAGGGGTCCGGCCCGCAAGGCCGTCGTGGTTTTGTCAGGACCCGAAGGGGTCCCCGGGGATCCCCGACGTCATGATTCTTTCATCGCGTCGTGTGCACCCGTTCCCCGGCACTGGTTTGTCGTTCTTCGACGGTCCCAGGGCCCGGCAAGGGCCCCCCGAGGCCGAAAATAGCGACAAACCTCCTGTCATGTTTTTTTCCTGACCCGATGGGTGTCTGTAGAAAAAGGAAGCACGGCATAAACATAAACTTTTGGCGTTCCGCGCGGGCTTCTTGGGTCTGCGCAGGGGCGGCGCCATCAGGCGCCGCCAAGAGGGGGGGGGCATAGCGCGGATCCAAGACATCCGCGCGGCGCGCCAAAAGCTTATGTTTATGCATTTGTTTCTCCTTCGAGTCTGGGGGCGTAGGATTACGTCGGGTATGCCCCCCTACAGGCGGATTTAGGATGAAAGATACAGAATAGCCAAAAAGTGCAAAGAAATACCGAAACAGTGCAAACACAACAGAAATCGTCGAAAAGTGCAAATATACACCATATACAAAGTTGCCAAAAAGTGCAACAAAAATAGCAGACATAGTCGAAACTGCGTCCGCCGACGACTTTTTTACTATTCTTGAATGCTCCTCCTGCAGAGGGACACGCCCGACTTCACAGACGTGGCACGTCCCGCGCGCGCCGCCGGGCCTCGCCCTCGGCGGCGCCCTCGGCGGCGCTCTCGGCGGCGCCGCGGCTCGCTGCCCCGCCGCTGCCGGAGCCCGCGGCCTCCTCCGCCGACGGCGCGCCCGGGGCGGAGGAGCCCTCGGCGTACAGGAGGAAGGCGAGGAGGAGGAGGAGGAGGAGGAGGAGGAGGAGGAGGAGGAGAGGAGGAGGAGGAGGAGGAGGAGGAGGAGGAGGAGCAGGAGAGGGAGGAGGGGGAGGAGGAGGAGGAGGAGGAGGAGGAGGAGGAGGAGGAAGAAGAAGAGGGGGAGGTGGAGGAGGAGGAGGAGGAGGAGGAGGAGGAGGAGGAGGAGGAAGGGGAGGAGGAGGAGGAGGAGGAGGAGGAGGAGGAGGGAGGAGGAGGAGGAGGATAAGGAGGAGGAGGAGGAGAGGGGGGAAGGAGGAGGAGGAAGAGGAGGGGGAGGAGGAGGGAGGGGGAGGAGGAGGAGGAAGAGGAGGTGGAGGAGGAGGGGAGGAGGAGGAGGAGAGGAGGAGGAGGAAAAAGAAGAGGGGAGGTGGAGGAGGAGGGGAGGAGGAGGAGGGAGGAGGAGGAGGAGGAGGAGGAGGAGGAGGAGGAGGAGAGGGAGGAAAGAGGAGGAGGCAAAGGAGGGGGAGGAGGAGGGAGGGGGGGGAGGAGGAGGAGGGGGGGGAGGAGGAGGATGGGGGAGGAACAGAGGAACAGACCGAGCGCACCCACGTGCGAAGTTCGGGCGATGCCAAACGCATCCTAGCCCTGGCTAGAAGTGGCGACTGCAGCGCCAGGCGCCGCGGCAGCTGAAATTTCTTCCACGGCTATGCCGTGGGTAGCTGCTCGCAAAAATTTGGTGAGGCCATCGCGCCCCGCGTGGGCGCGGGTAAATTCTCCCTTGTCAATATTGGCGAGGTTCTCTCGCCCCTTCTTCGAAACAGCGCCTGCCTGCGCAGGGTGCGGCGAGGTGGCGTGGGTCTTCGGTGGCCGTCTTGCCGCACCCGCGACAAAAATACAGGCGGTACTTCTGCACAAAATGAAGCTTATGGCTGGCGTGCAGCTCGCGGCCAGCGATGGTGATGGTGCCCTGTACTGGCACTATCTGGTCGCTGGCGGACGGAAGGTGGGTCTGTTGGATGCACGGCGTGGCGCAGGCCTGGCGTACTTTACACATGTCGGTGGTGAGCCCGCACCGCGAGCAGAGAAACTTGCCCGCTCTGAGCTCAAAGGCGTGCTGGCTCGATCGCATGGCTAGCTGCAGCTTGGTGAGACGCGGGCCTTTGGCCTGCGAGGGTCGCTCCGCCACCCAGGGGTCGACTGCAAGCGTGTCAGCTAGGGCTCGGCGCGCCCTCCTGCGGATGAGGGTGCACTGTGCATCGCGCAGGTCCGTGGGAGGGGCCTGTCCCACGAGCGCTGCCTCGTAGGACCGTTGGGCCGCTACCCCAGCCCATGCATCGGCCGTGGCATTACCAATGGTGTGAAAGTAGCGCACAGGGTCAAAGGCGAGGCCAGGTGTCTCCTCGCTGTGTGAGGGCACCCAGGTCACCGAGAGCTGCCTACTACCACGTGCGCGTATTGTTTTAGCAATACGTGCCCACAAATCCTGATTGGCGTCATCGCGGGGGCGCAAGTGTCGATTCGACCGTCATCCGTCAAATAACGGAAGGTGGTCTGTGATGAAGCAGAGATCACCGTCCCAGTGCTCTAGGGCAAGCGCGAAAGCCAGCAGCTCAGCACGAGGCACAGTCTGAAAGGGGCCCTCGAGGCCCGAAATGATGCCTCCCCAGGGGACCCACTCCCCGAAGAGGCACTTCATGGCGGCACAGGCGGCCCCCACTCTTCGGCGTCGTGGGTCATCACTGTACTGACCTCCCGAGCCGTCCCCGAAGAGGGTGAGGGTGCCGTCGCTGCTGTCGCAATCCTCCCACTCCCGCCCAACCCAGCTCCACCCGCCGTCCCCTCCCAACGATGCAAAGAGCGGGTGCGTGTCATCGCGCGCAGGCAGGCCGCGGAGCCAGTATGCGGGGGCAGCCTCTGCTCCCGCCAGGGCAGAGGGCATGAGGGCGTCAGAATCCGCGTAGTCCTCGTGGTCGCGGTTGCACGGGCACAGCCAGACCCTGTGCATGAGCGTCTCGTCGGCCCCACCGCACCTGAGACGCGTTGGAGTAGCGTTGTACCCCGTCTCGATGAGTCGGCTTCTGGGCCATTGCGCCCCCGCGACCACGCAGAGGTTGAGGGCCGCCTGGTCGTGCCGGCCCTTCCTCGTGAACTTCTCCATCCCGTTTGCAACTATGTGGACGTCTGGGCCCCCTCGTTGCAGTCCTTCTCCGTGTGGGTGTTTGGCAGCATCCCTCCACAGGCTCTTCTCGAGGGAGAAGCAGAACTCGTGGGCGAACTCCGCGGGGTCCACGTCGTTGCGCTTGTCCTCCCAGTCGGCCTGGCCACTGTGGGGTAGCTGCCACTCCTGCGAGTAGGTCTCGCCTGCCCACGGAGGTCGCGACCACTCCGTCGGCGTCGGGCAGGTCCATCCTGCGTCCAGGAGAATGGCCTGGATGGCGGAGATGGGCCCCTTGACCTTCCTTCACCTGTTGTTGCCGTACTTGATCGACTTGTCGTATATCCGCTTCCACGCCTGCGTGACCCGACTGTGGTGTTCTGGGTACTGCATCCAGAAGTTGAGCCACTCGGCGATTGACTGGCGCCTGAGCTCGATCGCGGGGTCCTTCTTCCCCATGACGACGGCGAGGGCTGTGGAGAGGCAGCGGCCAGGGACCTTCCCCCCCGTGGCCTGAACGGCCTGGCGCCTCTGGTCGAGGATGGCCGCTGGGGCGAGGCCCATGATCTGGTGGCCGTAGGTCCCCTGCGGCCTGGATCCCGTGTTCCACAAGCCCTTCGCGATCTTGGCTAGGGAGGCGTGCTTCCTGACCTTGGCCACGATGCGGTGAGTGCGCCTCCTCGCGGTCCTGGCCCTCTTGATTGCCTTGGCGACAACCCGTCTCTTGGCGCCTCCCACGTCGATGCCAAGGTCGACCGCGCTGTTGGCCACCTTGACGTGGTAGCCCTTCTTCTTGAGACCGTCGTGCACTGCGTAGGCGATCGTCTGGCTGGAGGCGACTACGGTGGTCTCGGGGGAGACCTGGAGCCCCGCGCCCGCCATTCCTTCGAATAGGTCGGCGCCAACCCCGATGAGATCTCCGATGACCTGCTTGGTTTGGCCCTCTGTCCTCGCGGCCGTGTCGTCCACGAACGTCCACGGGCCAGCGCGCGTGTGGTTGGTGTGGGCCCTCTGCAGGATCGGCCCCAAGTATACCTTGGCGAGCTTACCGCCATTGCAGCTGCCCGCGACTATGGGCCTCTCGGCGTCTATAATGTCGCTGACCCAGCCGTGCATCCGCAAGTACCTGGGCGCCAGGTAGAGCTGCACCTCCATCGCCACGACAATCGGGGGGAAGTTGACCCCGATCGCGGCTTCGAAGGGGGCCTCGTAGCAGACCGAGTCGTAGAACTTCTCTACGTCCATCAGCAAGGTCGCGAAGGCCACGCCGAAGGTCGCCGCCGTCTCGTCAAGTAGCGCCCTGACTAGCGCTGCCCTTAAGGCGCTGGATCCTTTGATGGCGGTGTCCCAGAACTCCCCGAGCTCCCTGGGCCACTCGTCGGTTACGCTGGAGCGGACCTTGGCCCACGTCTTGGGGATTGTGGGGAGCATGCCCAAGATTCTCTCTCCACCTGCGGGCTTGGGGGCCATGGCCCCAATGGTGGCGCAAAGCTGCTGAGGCCACAGCTCGTTGGCCTCCACCTGGCTGTAGATCTCAGCGAGCTCCTGGATCCCTTTCTCGGGGAGCCTCTGGATGTCGATGGGGCCGATGTTGTCGACTCCCCTCGCCTTCTTCGGGTTGGCGGTGCGCACAATGGCCTGTATGTGCTGCGGCTCGATTAGCGGGAGGGGGTCCTCCTTTGCGAGCCGCATGGCCTTCTCGTACGCGCTGATGATCTGCTTGACGTTGTAGCTGTCGGACGCCCAGATGGAGCGCCAAGTGCCGGCAGAGTGGTTCATGAGCGTGGACGGGTCGCCCACCGTTCTCTGAGGCTGCTTGTCCTCCAGGCGCGGCGCCCTGGGGTCGGTGACTATGCGGTGCAGCTTTCCTGGTGAGTCCTTCCACGCCTGTTTCGCCCAGTCGAGATACCGTTTCCGCGCTCTGCCTGCCGCTCTCGCCATGGCTTTGTGGGCCCACTCGATGGTGGTGGCGCTGACGTGGTGCAGGTCCGCCGCGTCGCAGTACTCGAGGTTTACAAGCTGGGTCTTCCACTCTTCGATCTCCTGCGGGTCGGTCTTGCTGCCGAAGAGCTCCTTGGAGAACTCAGGGTTCTCCAGGTCGTCCAGCTTCTTCATGACTGTCTTGTGGATGTGCTGGCGGGCTTTGGGGTCCTTGCCGTTGGTGACCAGCGCAGAGTACCTCACCACGAGGGTACTGAGGTGCTGCCACCATGTAGCCTCAAGGTCCTTGAGGTACGCTCTGCCAGGCGACGCCTTCATCGTCTGCTTGGTGGTCCTGTACCCCTCCGCCCTGCCCTGGTACTTGGCCCTGTCCTCGGCGGGGACCGCGTGCGTCTCCAGGAAGGCGAGCTCCAGGGTCGCGACCCACTGCGCGTACTTCGAGTTGATGTTCTCCGCGAGGATCGACGCATGGTTGTGGAAGATGCGCCCCCTGCCCTCCTTGGCGCCGACCTTAGCGCCAACGAACTTCGGGAAGTTGCTGACCTCGTCGGCAGCGGCGCCCCAGTAGTGCTGTGGGATCACGAAGGGGTGAGGTCGTCCATGGCCAGCTCGCGGTCGAAAAAGTGGGCGTCGAACTCGTCGCGCAAGTGCTCTGGTAGCCTGTCCCTCCTGGTTCGCAGCGCCTCCGCACGAGCCTTGGACCTTTTGCTGCTCGGGTCCGCGACCTGCTTAGGTCTGGTTCGTGCGGGGAGGGCTTTGGGAACCGTTATAGCTTTGTACTGCCACGGCTCGGCGGTGCCCACCGTGATCTTGATGCCGCAGTGGGTCTTCCAAGGGACGTCGTAGATGGCCTCGATCCCGACGTGCGTGGCGATGTCCGCTCGTGCGATCGCGTAGTCGTACACGGCGCCCGAGCCCTTGTCGCACGTCGCCTCGCAGCTCGGGTCGGTGAGGATAGTGCCGTTCCATCGCGTGAGCCACGGTTTGTTGCCCCACCAGTGCGGCTCGTAGTTCCAGTCGGCCAGGATGATCCACGGGTCCATGAGCATGTCCACAAACGTGGATATGGAGACCAGGATGTCCCTGTTCACGCCTTGGCCCCGTAGGCCAGGGCGCAGGCACGCCGCTATGATGACTATGTTGCCGCTCTTGGAGTGGAGGACTGTCGGCGTGGAGCCCACGAACGGCTGCCTCTTGTAGCGCTTGACGTAGTACTCCCTGTGGCCCTCGAACGTGGTCGCCGCCACGTCCCTGCGCGTGAGGATCCACTCGCCGCCATGGGTCCCCTTGTCCGATTTGTCGGTGGCCACCGCGGGCGTGGCCGACAGCTTCCAGCCGTCCACGGCGAGCTTCCCAATCTGCTCGGTGATGCCGCACGCGTCGACGTGGGTCTCCGCCAGCGCTATGAGGTGGTACTTGAGGCCTGCGTTGTGACAGAAGTTGGCGGCCTGTGGCCCCCAAGTCGTTACGTTGCCGAACAGGATCTGTGCCGCCCGCTCGGCCTCTGGGGCGGGTGCACCTGCCGTGGGGCCCCCCCTGGCGCGGTTCCCCTGCCCCCTCAGCCGCTGCGGCCGCTTGCGGCTACCCCAGCGACGGTGGGGCTCCTGCTGCTGCCGCTGGCGCCATGGTGGCGCCCTTGCCCACGCCCTTAGCTGCGTGGGCCAGCTCCCTGGCCCTCGCGGTGGTGGCGATGAGCTCGGCGGCGGCCTTGCGGTCCTCCTCGGAGGGCTCGTCGGTAGCAGGGGCGGCCCCTCCAGGCTGGCGTGGCTCGGCAATGTCCTCCAGGTGCGTCCGCTGGCTGGCGCTCGTCTGGTGAAGCGGGAGCGGGTTCAGGATGAGGTTGCTGAGCAGCTGGTTCCTCCCCGCTCGGCTTCTTCCGCTTCGCTGGGTTGGTAGTGGACTCCTTGGCTTGGCGTAGGAGTTCCCGTGCTTTCTCTTGACCATTGTTGAGCTCGGCCAGGCGCTGGTCAAGCTCTTGCTTCCATTGTTCCATCTGGGCTCGGGTGCCCTCGTCGTAGATGGAGAGGTCGTCCCACATCGAGGCGTCGACCTTGAAGGCTTCCTGGGATCCCGCTTGTGGTGCTCCGCGTGCAGCTCCAGCAAGCTTGGCGCTGTGGTCCGCTTGCGCCTTGGCGCATGCGTTCTGTGCCTGGGCGAGGTCCAGGGCGGCTTGCTCCTGTTTGGCCACGGCGTCGTCGTACCACTGCTTGGCGGCCTCGGCGTCGTCGACCGACTGCTTGAACTTCTTCTCCCTGTCTGTGAGGACTGACAGCGCCGACTGGAGCACCTGCTCTGCCGTGCGGGCAGGCTGCGGCTTGCCGGGCTGCTGGAGGGCGTCCTTGAGGTTGCCGACGAGTTCGGCGTGCTTGGTGTCGCTGAGGAGCGTGCTGAGCGTGGCGATGATGGCGTCCCTGGTCGGGGCGACGGCCACTGGCTGCTCCTTCCACGGCGGTGGCTTGCTGACTCCTGCCCACGCCCCAGCAGGCTGGCGGTGCTCGGCGGGCGATGGGGCCAGCAGCTTGCCACAGTAGAAGCACTCGGACTTGCCCTTCCACGTCCATCGGTATCGACACTGCTTGCAGACCGTGTACTGGCCAGCGAATCTAGCTGGCGATCCTCGTCCACCTTCAGGGCGTGCACGTCGCGGCCTGGTGCCGCCGTTGGCGGCCGCTCCTCCGTCAGCAGGGGCGGTTCCTCCACCGCGGTCCGCGGCGGCCATCGTCCCACTGCTTCCCAAGGAGCTCTCGCGAGCCACGCGAGGGAGAGATATGGAATGGGCGGCAGCTCGCCCCTGGGTGTAGCTGCAATGGGCGGCAGCTCGCCCCTGAGTGTAGCTGCAGTGGGCGGCAGCTCGCCCGTGGGTGTGGCTGCAAATATGAAGAGCACTGAAAGCTTTGGGAGCCTACCCCAGATCGGCAGTGGAATGGTCACCATTTTGGCCTTGAGCCAAAATGGCTTGAGCCAAAATGGCTACGGAGGGGAGGAGGGGGAGGAGGAGAAGGAGGAGGAGGAGGAGGAGGAGGAGGAGGAGGAGGAGGGGAGGAGGAGGAGGAGGGGAGGAGGGCGAGGAGGAGGAGGAGGAGGAGGAGGAGGAGGAGGGGGAGGAGCTGCGCACGGTGCGCCTCCGCCGCCGGCGCGCCCGCGGCGCGGGGCTCGATGCCGAGCTTCCGGGCGAGGGCGGCGACCACGGAGGTGCCCTCGGCCGGGCTGCCCTCCCAGAACATCCTGTGGGCTCGGGCAGAGTTCCCCCGCAGGGCTGGACCCAAAGCAGCTTTTGAGTCCACAGGGGGCCACATGCGAACCCTACCCCTGTCCCCCACGATTCCTGATGGAGAGGGTGGGCTTCACTTCGCTCGGGAGCTCCCGAGCGAAGTGAACCCCACCCTCCCCCTCAGAAATCGTGGGGGGTAGGGGTAGGGTTCGCATGTGGCCCCCTGTGGACCCAAAAGCTGCTTTTTCGTTTGTTCTCGTTTTGTGATTCGTTTTGTTCTCCCTGTTTTCCTGGACCTCCCTGCCAAAAACGAAAAACAGAGCACGGCCGAAGTCCAGAAACACAGCGATTGGGTTCAGCCCTGCTTCACAGACCTCCTCGCGACGTGGGAAAATCACAACGGGAGGTCGTTCGCTATGTTCGGCCTCCGGGGGCGCTTCCCGGGCCTCGGGAACGTCAAATAACGACTCGGCAAGCTCTGCGCCCCCCGCCCAAAGCAGACGACGCCGGCACCGCGGCAAACCCTGCGCCCGATACAGCGTTTGCCCTGGTGGCTGCGGCGCCCTCCCCAGGACGCACGGCCGCGCTTCGGAACAAACGGCGCGGCGACACATGAGTGACGAAAAGAGAGGGGTCTTTTGCGAGATGGCACAGCGACCTTATGCGGTGGCTTACGCGGGCCGCCGGCGCGAAACTCCACAGTGGAAGCGAGGGCGGTCACGCGCAACCTGACGCGGAAAGCTTACGCGACAATGTCGGCGCAGCTGAACCCGTTTTTTTCGTCGTTCACATGGTGAACGTTTTCTTATCCGGCGTTTGGATATTGGGCGGAAGGGGGGGGGGGGATGGGAGGCGTCTGGCTCTGGACCTCTGCTTCGTGCGACTGCCACCAGTGCGTCCTATAGGGGAGACTCCACCTGCTCGAAACTGGCGCCCAAAACAGCCAAAATCTACTCCATGGGGGGCGGGGAGGGGGGGTGCGGCCCGCGCCGCAACAGGGAATCAGAAAACGACCACGTGGTGCCATGATGCGATGCTTGCTCGGGACATGCCTTCGGGGAGCTCTGCAGTGTCCAGCCCGTGCGGAGCAGCAGGAGAGCTCTTGGGAGCCTGGGGATCTGGGAGGGTCTTGGAGCGCGCCGTCATTACGGCGCCTCGCTCCCCTGATCCCGGCAAAGCCGCACACATGTTCTGACATCCAAGAGGTCCGCGCGGACTTCTTGGATCGGCGGATCGGCGCTGGACCCCCTGCCCGGCACATGGAGGCGCCGCCAGGGGGGCCCAGCGCCGATCTGAGAAATCCGCGCGGACCCCGAGAGATTCTGTGCAAGTATGGATTTTCCTCTTCTTCGAAGTGCACGGTTTCCCCCGGGGCCGTAGGCGACCCGAGGAGGAGTAGGAGGAGGAGGAGAAGGAGGAGGTGGAGGAGGAGGTGGAGGACGTCGAGGAGGAGGTCAAGGAGGGGGAGGGGGTGGAGGAGGGAGAGGGGGAGGAGGAGCAGGAGGAGGAGAGGAGGAGGAGGAGGAGGAGGAGGAGGAGGGAGGGAAGGATGCGGAGGACGAGAAAGGAGGAGGAGGAGGAGGAGGAGGAGGAGGAGGAGGAGGAGGAGGAGGAGGAGGAGGGAGGAGGGAGGAGGGGGTAGGAGGAGGAGGGAGGAGGGAGGAGGACGGGTCGCCCAAGCCCTTCGGAGAAACCCTCCACTTCGAAGAAAGCAGGCGAGACGAGCGAGCGTCGCAGGGCCAGGAGGGTGGCGGGGGCGATTGGGGGGCGATCGAGGAGGACCGAGAATCGAGGGGGGAGCCTCTGTCTCCACGTCAGGTTCGTGTCGTGCCGACTTCGGCGTTGGTTTCTGACACCGCGGGGGATCGTTCAACCTTGGACGATCGGCCGTTTCCGAAGCGTCCAAATCGTTCGGTATCGAATGATTTTGGGTAGCCCGCGGCATGCAAAGTTGAACGCCGCTGGCGGGGTCGCCGCCTGTCGACACGACACGAACCTACAATATGCAGCTTTCTCTGCGAGGAGGAGGAGGAGGAGGGCCTGGGGAGGAACACGCGCTCACCTGGGGCTCCGCTGGCACTTCTCCCGCGGTGTTTGCACTCTTGCTTTGCAGCGTGGGATCTCCAGGGGGAGGGCACCCCGAGGCCAGACCACCGCCGAGAGAACCGGCGGGCACGGCCGAAGGGATCGGGCCGCGAACCCCGGCGGGCGTGGCCCTGGACCCGGCGGGGGGGGGGGGGGCAGAATTTACGCAGGAGGCATCTGTACTCGAGCGGGGACCGACCATCCTACCACGAAGTGCTCTTAGAGCCAAAGAATGTTCGAAGAGCAAAGACACTGTTCTTAGAACATACACCGCGTTAAAACAAGACAGTTCCAGCCAGACATGTTCTAAGAACATTTCGTGGAGACCACAAACGGTTCTTAGAACATTGTTTGGTAGGGCTATAGGCGCGCCAGGACGCTTCGCGACTGCTTGATATACACCACCACACATTTGAAGGGACCTCTCAAGCTTTCCTCAGGCCTGCGCAGCGTCCATAAGAGCAATAACGCAGCCGAGCAGAGGAGGGCGTGCAGGCAGCTCGGGAGTTCGGGCATGCAGAAGCATGGTGCGGACGACACTGCAAAGCCCTGGGAGAGCAGAGCATTGACAGCGCGAGCACCACCACAGTGTCTGGCCAGGGCCATCTTGTGCCCCTCGCATGGTGTATACGCCTCCTGGCCGAGGCCAGGAGGGTCTGTACGCTATCGTGGGGCCCAAGACAGCGCTCGCCAGGCAGGGTGGTGGTGTATAGGTGTCGACTGCGAACAGCAGGTGCCGATACAGTCGGACCTTCAGGAACATGAGACCCTCCGCCGGCCAAAAGGAAGGGCTTTCGAGGGTACCCTACCCCAGGATGCACGAGAGCATCCAACTAACACGAAGAGCAGCAGGATACCCTTCCCAAACCGGCCTCGATCTTATACCAATCCAGCCGCAGCACCGAGGGCCTCCCAGGAAGCCCAACAAGGCCAAAACGAGAGAAGGGTACCGGTATCGGTGCCATCGTCATCGTCATCGTCATCATCGTCATCTTCGTCATCGTCATCGTCATCATCATCGTCATCATCGCCATCATCATCATCATCATCATCAGCAGCAGCAGCATCACCATCATCGTCCTCATCGTCATCGTCATCGTGATCATCATCGTCATCGTCATCATCATCCTCATGACGAGAAGGGCTCTGAGACCTTTCGCCCACCCCTGACGTCCGCTCGCGGTCCCCTCGCTTGAGGATGCCGGC